TCCTCACTCACATCGACATAAACAACAAAAAATACAAGTTTAAAATATATATTTGAGGTCATGTAAACAAAGTCAAACAGAAAAAGTTGAATTTTTTTTCCGTTCCTACACAAGTGAAAAAACTGATCAACAATAAATAAGTTAAAGATATTAGTTGATCGGCTTTTTGTGTGTTTTCTAATAAAAGAAATTTGTCTTCAGAACGGCTCAAGGAAAAACCTTAAAGCACATTTATTATGTAAGATATTAGCAGTGCTGTGTATTTGGTGTACTTTGTGTTATTTAGAACAGTTATTGCAGAGAAAATGATTTCTTCTAAATGTTTTTTCTGTGCTGTATTGTAGTGAAACAGGAGGTGAGACAGGTTGCCTCAGTCCAGTCAGAAGGAGCTGATCTGTTCTGCCACATAATAAATCAGGCCAGACAAAACAGTTTTGTTTTTAGCAGCGATGCTGAGAACATTGGACCAGGATAAAATGATGTCAGTAGGAGTGGAGTCAATGAACGGTTTGGGTTCCATGAAATTGTTTTATTTTGAAACCAAGAATGATGTTGTTTCATTTTTTTCCTCCAAATCGATGGATCTTTAAAATAAAACCTTGTCTATTTCTCATAGTTTGAATGTAATAAACTGTGAATAACAAGATCTCTTCATGGAATTTGTGTGACACATTTTGAAACTTTATTTTATCTGTTGCTATATTAAAACCAAAGTGAGCTTCCAAAACACTTGAATGTGAACTTCAAACTTCAACATTTAAGATTTAACTTTTACATTTAGATTTACACGTTTAGATTTTGGACTTATTTTCTAAATGTAACAACGGTGAGCTAACTAACAAAAAAATGTTTGTGAAAATTTTCAATACTCAGGAAGGGAGCTATAAATAATGAAAATGTGTTAGTGACATTTTTTTTACACATTATTTTACACTTGACACCTCAAACGTGTTAGAGAGAACATAAGTCATATCTTGTCACATAGATTTCCTGTTGCCGTCGACCCTCTTCCCACTTCATGCAGATTAAAAACCAAGAGGGGAACTTCTCAGATGGAGGCTTAGCTGACGCTTATCAGATACATCAATGTTTTTCTCTTCCTCCGATGGAAAAACTACAAGCAGAATCATGTTTTATGCTGTGGTTTTTGGCTGCATTCTGGCGCTCGGCCTGCCTCTCAACGTCGTGTCGCTCTGGATCCTGCTTCGCCACCACGGCCTCAGATCGCCCACTTCTGTCCTCAGGATCAACTTGGTAATCTCTGACCTGCTGCTCGTCATCTTCCTGCCTACAATACAATATTAGTGAAACATTTTTAGGATTTCACACTCAAAAAATTGAGATAAACACTGAAAAATGTGTAAGCAAAATTTTCTATATTTTATTTTACACTTGGCACTCCACTTAGTAATTTTGATGATTTGTAAGTTTTTTTATTGTAACTTTTACATTTTTTCATTACATTAAAAAAGACACTTTTTAATTTAAAATTTAACACCTAGTTACAAGTTACAAATTTAAATATGACCGAACTCATCATGAAGAGTTGTTGATGCACTCAAAATATTTAAGTGTTGAATTTATTTCAATTTATGCAACCGAGTTGAGTAAACGTATAGCCAGTGGTGGGCAGCACTAATCTAAATATTAGTTGCACTAACCCTAAATCATTAATGCACTGAAAAAATTTATCAAAAGCTAATTCTAAAGCACTAATATAATCCAGTTGACACATGAAACATTCTTCAGTCAACATGAGACAGCATTTACTGTGTGCAGAACGTTGTCACTTGGCAGGCCAAATGGGAGTCAACTGCAGGCCGCATTTGGACCATGGGCCTTGAGTTTGACACATGTGACCTTGTAGATAACTGACACACATGAACAAACTGTTTGACAGCTTTCACCCTCAAGTGTAAAAAATAATGTTGATCAATAACATTTAGAGACCTCAGTTAGTGCTTCTAAATTTAGCCCATAAATTTAGCGAGTGCTAATCCACTAATGAATTTTAAAAAATAGCAAAAGCCCTAAAGCACTAATCAAGAAATTAGTTCCCCTATTAGTGATTTAGTGCTTTAGGGTAACTGTGCCCACCCCCGTGTATAATAATTTACTCAACTCTGTTTGGTGAAATCAGTTTGTTTGAGTAAATTCAACACTTAATTTCTTTGAGTGTAAAAGTACTTTTTCTTTCCTGAATGACTTTTCTTGTCAGTGAAATTAATTTTTTACCAAAAGTCATTTTCTGTAAAAGTTGTTTTACTTTTACTTAGTTATTTCTTTTAAGTACTTTATATACCTTTGGTGAAAAGGAAGGATTTAAAAGCCCGTATTAAAATAGGTGGATTTGATTGGTGAGCTCTCGAAATTGACGTCACTCTCTGGCCAATCAATGAACAGCAAGTCAAATCTTTCAGCTTGATTTGGCTTTCTTGTCGTGGTGAGGGGGGAGCTGAGCCTGAAGGCAAAGCTCTCGGTTTACCAGTCGGTCTGCGTTCCTACCCTCATCTATGGTCACGAGCTTTGGGTAGTGACCGAAAGAACGAGATCGTGGATACAAGTGGCTGAAATGAGTTTCCTCCACAGGGTGGCTGGGCTCTCCCTTAGAGAGAGGGTGAGAAGCTCGGTCATCCAAGAGGGACTCAGAGTAGAGCCGCTGCTCCTCCACGTCGAGAGGAGCCAGTTGAGGTGGCTCGGGCATCTGGTTAGGATGCCTCCTGGACGCCTCCCTGGTGAGGTGTTCCGTGCATGTCCCACCGGGAGGAGACCCAGAGGAAGACCCAGAACACGCTGGAGGGACTATGTTTCTCAGCTGGCCTGGGAACGCCTTGGGATTCCCCCAAAGGAGCTGGCCCAAGTGGCTGGGGAGAGGGAAGTCTGGGTCTCCCTGCTTAGGCTGCTGCCCTCGCGACCCGATCCAAGATAAGCAGTAGAAAACGAACGGATGGACCTCAGTGCTTCTAATTTTAGCATATAAATTTAGCAAGTGCTAATCAACTAATAAATTTTAAAATTAGCAAAAACCCTAAAGCACTAATCAGGAAATTAGTTCTCCTATTAGTGCTTTAGGGGAACTGTGTCCACCACTGGAAACTACAAAACATTTACCAGTGAATGTGTGTATGTTGTTTGTGGGTTTTAAGGTCCAGAAACAAATCAACAACATTGAGTTTTAAGTCATTTTTATTTACTTCACAGACAGGTGTCATTTGCAGGCAAAATATACAGATCAAAGTTTTACTAAGCTAACATATCAGATAATGTGCTCCCTTTGTGTTGACTTTAGCCCAGGTTGTAACTGGACTAAGGCTTTAACGTTTCACAAAGAAAAAAATAAATAAATGTTTTAAGAGTGTCTTTCTTTTCTACTAAAGATGAACACATGCAAAGTAAAATAGACTACTGCAAAAATGACTCATTGGGGGCAAAAAACAAACAAACAAACAAACAAAAAAAAAAGACAGGAGCAACAGAGATAAATGAGTTTTAAAAGTAGCAAAATGTTATTTAGGGAACTTTGAAGTCAACTTTATGATAAAAAGGCAGAAAGAAGAGCGAGGAAGCAACAAACAGGCAAGAGATAATGCAAGCAGGCAGCTAGTCATCAGCAGTTATATGTTTACATCGCACAACAGAAAAACAGAAAGAAATTAGCCAATTTTTATTTCTAAATTTAAGTAAGCCAAGCTCAAACTTTCCACAAATGACTATCAGTAAATCTAAGAAACACAAAGTAACCCTCGGGACTTCGGAAAAACCTAAAGCACGGTCGCCTTAACGACACATGGAGACAGTAACCAGCATACAGTACGAATCCCCCGAAGACCAAGAGGAGAGATGTTGAAATGACCCTTTATTATTGGCTTAGTTGCTACATGGAAAATCCTGTGACAGAACCAATGACTTAGTATTGCATCACCACTTCAGGGTAAATACAACACATGATAAACTAAAAAAACAAACAAACAAGAAACTGAAAAATCTTTTACAAAGTACATCAAATCACAAGTAAAGTGCAACTGAGATGTGATCAGATCCAGAGGTGGATGCTACAGTGGCTGGAGGGGTGAGTGGAGATGTGCCTTCAGGTGGGACCCGGGTGCTTACGCCTCGTCGCAGATAACCGTCTCCACCACGAAGGTGTTCTCGAAGTGGCGGATGTGGTGGCACTCCTTCGCGTCTCGCTTGGTGATGCCTGGAACAGAACAAGAATGAGAAACTCAAGCCACCCGTCAGAGATTTAACGTTTTTTGTTTTTTTTATATTCGACAAACTTACGTCTGCGGGTGAGCCGGCGGGTCAGGCGGTACGTGTCCTTCCCGTTGCACAGGCGGTAGATAAAAGGTCCCAGCTGACGCATGTTGTGCACTTTGCCACTCACCACCATCTCTTCGTGGATGATGTAAGTCTGAGGCAGGTATGTTCCCTTCTTTAAAAGCAGCAAAAAAAATCACAAAGAAAAAGCTTTGTCAGCAGAATTATATTTCATCCTGGTGAACGTTCTTGTGAACGAAACATAACTTCAGCTACTTTTGCTACAACTGCAGCTGCGTTACCTTAACATTGATGAGAAGCTCCCAAAAGTTGCGTGGAGGCATCACAATGGTGGTATTGAGCTCAATGACGTAGCACTTGTCCAGAGCAATGTCATGGTAGGCGGTAAGTCCCTGGAAAAAGAAGAGAAAACGATCATCTACTGATTAGTGAATCTTGTTTTTGCCTGTTTGTTTCAGCTACGTGAACTGGAGATACCAAATATCTAATAGAGATGGGTACATTGTACATATTTAAATATTTTATGCAGCAGTTGTTTTAAACATGGCAGCCATGTGGCTCAGATGGTACAGCTGATGCCTCTCAACAAGAAGATTGTCAGATCAAATCCTGGCCGGGGATCTTTCAGAGTAGAGTTTGAATGTTCTCTCTGTGCATGTGTGGGTTTTCTCTGTGTAATCCGGCTTCCTCCCACAAACCAAAAACATGACTGTCAGGTTAATCAGTAACTCTAAATCGTCAACAGGTGTGAGAGAGAGAGTGAATGTTTGTTTGTCTCTATGATGGATTGCGACCTGTCCAGGGTGTACCCCGCCCCTCACAAGTTTAAGCTTAATGTCTCTGATGCAAGATATTCAAGAGGGGAGGAGTTCCAGGGGTGGGCAATCCTGGTCCTCGAGATCCGCAGCCCTGCATGCTTTACCTGTTCCTCTGCTCCAACACACCTGATTTGAATGAATGGTTGATTTATCAGGCTTCTGCAGAACTTGGAAGAAGTAATTCATTGACTGAATCAGGTGTGTTGAAGCAGGGAAACAAATAAAATATGCAGGGCTGTGGCCCTCGAGGACCAGGATCGCCCAAACCTGAGTTAGACTGTAATTAAAGGGATCCACGGTTAGTTATAACATTTGACTTTATTTGATAAACATTTATTTTAACTGTAAAATAAATACTGTAAAAATACTGTAGCTGTTTAGTTTTGTAATTTTTTTAAATATATTTTAACATGGATGGAGCCATTTTATTTACACACAAAGCATTCTGGGTAAATGATGTGGATAGGTCCTCGGTC